TATTTATCTTATTATTAATTTTATATAATATTAATTTATTATTTAAAGATACTATATCTGTTCTGTAATTTTAATAACAATGAATACACGAATAAAGAATAAGTTTTAAACATAATCTCTTGTTTACTTTTAATTTAGTTTTCTGTATGAATTCTATTTCAAATTATATCATTTATATCTTGAATCTTCTGTGTGAACTTTCTTGATATAATATTATATTCTGATTTTTCTATGTGAATTATCTGAATATATTACCTTATGTAACAAAAAGGTTACATGATTAAACTTTAATTAATTTTCATTTCAAAATGAATTATTAATTAAAATTTTTTAATAAATTTATATTTTATTATTATTAAAGACATAAACTTATTAATAATTATAATATTATCTCAAATATTTATAAAAAGATTAAAATTTTTTTATTTTATTTAAATATTAAATAATAAAATAAAATATTACTTGATTTATATTATTTTATTAATAAGTTATTATATTTATTAATATTAATATGAAATATTAGATAATTTTTCTATTATTATAAAATAATAAATAATTTATTATATTTATTTAATAATTAATAAATTAAAAATTAATTATGAACTTGATTTTAAATATAAAGATAATTAATTTTATATAATTAAGATAGCTTTCTTAGAAAAAATACAAAAAATCTGAAAAAATATATATTAAATATAGAATGCTAGCTTTGTTTTAAGTTAGAAATTAAAAATATTTATTAATAAAATTTAAAACTTTTATATATTATCAAAAATAAATATTTTACTAAATATAATTAATAAAAAACTTAAGCATTTCATTCTTTTTTGATTGCTACTATTTATTATAATATAATAATATTTACATATCTAATCTTTTTTCAAAATTTTTAATCTCTTCAAAAAAAGAATCAAATTTTATTTGATTTCATTTCATTATTATAATAATTATAAAAGTATTATAATTATAAAAAAAAATATGAAATTGTTAACTATAACAGAGATATATAAGAAAAAGTGAACTAAGAACTGTTGTGATCGAAGTGTCCAATTAAAATTACTTGATTTATCTAAATTTTAATTAATCAAACTTTATTTGTTAATAAATTTATTTATAATTTACTGCAAAATAAATTATAAAAAGATCTTTTAAGCAAATTTGGAAGTGCAAATTTGGGGTAGTATCAACTCGAATTTATATCTTCTTTAATCTATCAATTGTTAAGTATATAATCGTAATCAGAATTTACATTATTTAGAAATGGAACAGTATCAACGACGATTTGAAGATGCATCACAATCAAAATCATCCATAAATAGTAGTATTAGCAGTAGTGATGAAAGAAATACTTGGACTAATAAAGGAATTTTTAATGCGAAAAATCAATTGCCAATTAGCGCAACAAAGGAAATGAATAACAATAGAAACAGTAAAACAATGTTAACTAAAAATACAATTACGCAGTTTAAATTAGAAAGAAATCGACGTGAATTGAAAAGGTCTGATTTGATTGTCAAGGACTTTTCGGGTGTCAAAAAAAATCGTGTACAGTAATATTAATTAATCATTCATTTATCGAATATAGATTAAGAAATGCGATTAATTCACGAGAATCTTTTCTCACACAGAAAAAAAGGATACGAAAAAGAAATAAGTTAATTGAAGAGAATTTGATGTATGTTAATCGTAACAAATTTTTTGGACTTTAAGCCAATAAGCATTTGTTATTAATTTGGAGAAAATAGATCTGTGTATGAAGCTACCACCTCAAGTGCATGCGATCTTGTCAGATCATTACGCGCCACTCATCATTCTTTGATGAATGTATCATCGTCTGGTGTTCCTGACTATACTGCAATATTAAATCGAGCGGAAGAAGAAAGTTTGTGATCTCTAAGGAAATAACTTGCTTTTATTGTATATTTGTTTGCGTGTCTAAATCATGTAAATAATGCAAATTAGTAAAAAAGCAGATGGAGCGTATACAAAAATTAGGTGATCAAATGGATGAATTGAAACGCCAAAGAAACGGAATTATTGTGCACAATAATGACGATGATCTTGATTATGGAAATGGAAAAGAGAATGAAAAAGGTATTTTGTAGATTATTACGCCTGATCTTGTTTGTGAATCATGAAAACTTAAAGTAAAATAATACATCAATTAGTCGACATCATCTGTAATAATGGTATTCAGAATGAAGATATGAAAAGAGATATGGAAATTGATGATGACAGCAGCAGGTTAACAACACATTAAATATTTCGATCTCTTTGCAATATTTTTTGTCTAATACACAGAAACTCATCGATCTTTTTTCTGTATCAATTAATAAATAAAAGCTCGTTCAATGTAGATCAAAATGCTAATTTAGAATCTCTGAGGATTCAATATGACGACACAGCATCAAAACTTAATGATTATTACATGGAAATAGATCAAAGAGATAGGTTTATAATTTAATCCATTGTTAGTTTATAACATTTAATAATAATAATAATAATAATAATAATAATAATAATAATAATAATAATAATAATAATAATAATAATAATAATAATAATTATACTAAATGCAATACATTTCATTCCATTTTAACAAAAAGTTATCTTGACGATTTGATCTTGAATAAGGTAATGCAATATATTCAGCAGAAACCTTGCGCCACATCAATAAATTTGCCGCAGAAATCAACAAGAGAATTGCGTCCACGCGCATCAACTTTTCCAACTCTTTCACCGATTCCTGAAGAAGATGAGGAATCATTGATAAAAGAATGATTGGGTAAACTTTACTATGCTCACGTGATTATGTGTACCACAAATTAATAAAATCATACAACTGAGAATTTTTTTCTCTAATGATTTCCTTCCCATTCAAAGGAAGTATGATGAATGGCTTCTTGATGATAATTTAGTCTCCTCCGCTCTTAAAGGGTGTTGTTAGGGATGAAACGTGAAATTGTGTGCTTGGCCATCCACCTTGTTACGTGTTAAAGCACACTTTAATTGCCAAACTGACCAAAAGAAACATGGATAATTATTTTTTTTTGGTGATTGTCGTATGTTTCTTTTTTGAATGGGGAGTTAGTCATTTTATTTATTTTTTTACCTTCTTAATAAGTAATCATTGAATACTAGTGAACCTTAAACTTATAATATGCCGCTTTTATTTTTGAATTTTTTTTTGAAGTATACAGCGATTTTTTATTTTCGAAAACATCCTTATTTGCATTTTTAATCTCTTAATAACCCTTCCCATTTCTATCATTATCGATTTATTTTTGCACATCAAACAAAAATATTGAAGATAATATAGGATATAGATGCGTAACTAAATCTTTGTCTTATTCCAAAAAGTCACGGAATCGAATATAGGTAAGGGCTTTTTGATTAGCTCGCAGAAATTAAACTTAATATCATTGTCAAGAAGATGCATGATTTTATGATGGTATTCGATTCGATGACTGTGTAGAATTCTTGAGGGCAGTTTTAGTAAATTCCCATAGCCTCTTTAATAAATCATCTCCGAGCGTATAAAGATCCAGATGAAATTCACCTACAAATAAACAAAATTTTTATATAAAACTTTCGAATCATTTGACAATTTATAAATTATATGATTTACCTTCAATGTCATCATTTATATACATATCGCTCGTCTTGTGAGATTTTACAATCTCAATCACCTCGAGAACATCATCACCTTGTAAAGCGTATAAATTTTCAGCTAATTTCTCATAATTCACCTACAAAATTCAATATATCTTTAGTAATATTCATGAATATACGTATGTGATCGTGGAACTTGTTGCATACTTTAAAGTAAATCTCTTTGTCATTATTGATAAGTGTAATAGCACGTGATGATTCTGGTGACGATTTTGCTGATGATTTCGGTGAAGATTTTTGAGATGATTCAGGCCAAGATTTTGGCGAAGAAATGGAGGAAGATGCTGTACGATCTGGTGACTCAGGTGTCATTGCATTTTCTGTCAATGGAGAATAGATATCTCGAGATTTTATCGATTCCTGATGATTTTTTTGACTATTTTCCTCTGATTGGTCATAATTCTCAGATTTACCACGTTTTTTTGGCGTCGTAAGCGTATTTCTAGTTCTTTTTGCACGACCATTTTTTGTTTTTGATAATTCAGATTGTTGTAATAAATTCTTGAATGGTGGTTTAGGATCGCTAAAAGTCTATAATATATATATATATATATATATATATATATGTATGTATATAGATATATATAGATATATATATAGATATAGATATATATAAATGCATAATTATTAATCCATTAACATTTCATAAATTCAAAATTTTGCATAGATTATGGAATAAAAATTTACCAGAGTATGCGACATCTCATATTGACTGTGCTTGAAATTGAGATCGTGTTCTAAGGTCTTTGGTGGAACGCTTTTATCGATGAAATGCAAAACAATTTGCATATCAAACTCGCCCCATCCCTTTTCTGAAAGTGTGAACGGAGGTTTTTTGCAGACTAACCACAATATATAACACAAGAGACACAAGAAATGCGGATTATATCCAAAAATTAATTATTACTAATTATTACTATTTAATAAAATGTAAAATATCTACATATTTATACGATAGAAAAAAAAGAGCTCACTCCGAATAGGATTATCAAAAGTAGGGTGTAAATGATACTCGACTTTTTCGACAAAATTTATTTGGGACTTTGTTCCAAACTCGTCAATTGCATACAAGGACACCTTCCAACTTCTAATAGGATATCCTGCCTCCGCTCTGGCATTCTTGATCACTTCCTATGTTAATGTGTGGTAGATTACACTAAGTTATGTATATATTTAAATCTTGGGCAAACGTGAAATGACTACCTGTTCAGTGCAGACCTTGATTTCCTTTTCAATAAATCCCTAATGAAATGAATGTTCCATATAAGTAGAAATAATACTCTTTTCAAAAGTAAAGGAAGACTAGAGTATACACAGAACTCGAACCTTCTCTGTCATTGTTGTTATATTATTCATTTCAGTTTAATCTGCTCTCCTTACCAAAAAAAGCACGTTAGTATCTAAGGGATCGCCATTATGTATCCAATCAAACGGTTATAATATCTATCGCAGGACTCAAAAAATATATCGATAATATAATCATGAGTTCGAATAAGAACGATAATACCGCTACAACAAGCACTGTAAGCCTCGCGTTTACATTCGAAGCAGAAAATTTTCGCAAAATTCAGCCAAAAGAATTTATAAAAAAATTTCTTGAACACAATGTTCGACCTGACGGAAGAGTTTTTCGTCAATTTCGAAAAACCACAATAAATTCTGGTATTTAATACTGGGATAAAAGGCTCTAATGCAAAGACGAATGAATATACATGATTTATATTTTTTTATTATTCATTATAGGGCACATTTCAACAGCGGATGGATCCGCGGTAGTTCGAATAGGCAATACTACTGTCGTTTGTGGAATTAAAACTGAAGTCGCCGAACCAAAGACAAGTACACCTAAAGAAGGCTACTTTGGTGACTTTTATTCATGAAATTTGCCTTTTTTTGTTCTTTTTTGCGCCACGTATAAAAATGAACACGTCATATTAATGTTTAGTAAGGTAATTGACAGTTCCAAACGTTGAGCTTTCGCCAATTTGTTCTTCGAAAGTTAAACCAGGACCTCCAAGTGAGCAGGCACAGGTCATGAGTGAAAATATAAACAAATTACTAAAGAGGTTAGTTTATATATTTGACAATCAAATATTAGATAATCTGTTAATCTTTAATATATTTTTAGCTCTTCGGTAATATCTTTAGAAGATTTATGCATTGAGGAGGGTAAAGCTGTTTGGGTTTTATATGCTGATATAGTTTGCATTAATTACGATGGGAATGTATTTGACGCGTCAGTTATCGCAATTATTGCAGCACTCAGTAATTGTAAGTCTTTTTTAGATTCGTCACCTTGATTCTTTTGATTTTGTAATTAACTTTCGTTATTATAGTGCGGCTTCGTAAAGCCGAATATAATGAAGGTTTAGTGACAGCTACTGAGACGCGTCCAATCAAGTTGAACCTTTCTAGACTCCCGTTTTCTTCAACTTTTGCATTCTTTGATGGGTAAATCAATGGAATTTTATTTATTATCTTTTTTACTTGACATCATTATTTAACCCTAATTAATATATTAGGTCGTACCTATTAGCAGATCCCAACGATACAGAAGAATCGATTATGGAAGAGATGATTACAGTCGTCTGCGATGAAACGGGTAAACTATGCAATATTTGGAAAAGGGGTGGACCTTCTTGTTCACCTGATCAAATTATTACTTGCATATCTTTGGCTCGCGAACGATATAACACAATATATAATACATTAAAAAAATCTCTGGCTGATAACGCTAATTAGTGATTCTTTGGCTTTAATTTAACGTGTTAACGTGGCACATGACTCACATCGATTACACGGCGAATATTTACTCAAAATGGCAATTCTCTAAATTTTTTATATTTACGAGTGAGATCCTAAATTTTTTCATTCCATATAGTGAATCAATGTCTACCACGAAACTTTTTTGTAGAAGCCATTGCTTGGCTAAAAATAAAAATAATAAACCTTTGCAAATTGATTCTTTGCAATTTAAAAATGTGCACTATTACTCGAGAATCTCACCGAGAAGTGATAATGCTGGTCAGTACACTATTCAAATGCTGCTTTCCTTCTTTTTCACATTTTAATTATTTCATGGTCTGTTTGACACAAAAAAGAATGATTATAGACTCTACTACTCTCTTTGCCAAATACAATAATATCAAGGTCAAAACAACAGGCGCCTTTTCCGTTCAACATTCAATAATCTCAATTATTCCTCAAGGACTCCGATTTGCATACCAACAACCAATTCTCAGATAGCACAAAAATCTCAACTACAATCGCCATCATTCTCTTCATTATTCTCGAATTTTCATATTCCTAACTGTTCGTTTCGAAGCGTCATTCAATCACAATTCTTACATACAACTCGTACACGTAATCCGTTATATTTACCCGGGGAATTACGTATTCTTGGCTGCAAAGCAAATTACTCGAACAATAAAGTTGTTGCTGAAGATCAAGATGCTATAAAACATAAAGCGATTCATTTTGAGACTGAAGAAGCAAAAATGAACGAGAAAACCTCGACTAGTATGTTAAAAAAGAAACCGATTTTGACGCGAATTAAAGATGAATTGGTGCATTATTGGGATGGAACAAAGCTGTTAGGATTGGAAATAAAAATCTCTGCGAAACTTTTGTTCAAAATTTTGAGAGGACAAAAATTAACCCGTCGTGAAGATCGTCAGGTATATTAATGCTTTATCTCGTCTTCTCTATTAATTATTATTCTAATAAAATCGAACAAATTGCAGCTTCGAAGAACGACGCAGGACTTAGCTCGTCTTGTCCCGTTTGCTGTATTCATCATAGTGCCATTTATGGAATTCTTGCTTCCCGTTGCCCTAAAACTATTTCCCAATATGTTGCCTAGTACCTTCGAGGATAAATTCTCAAAGGTAGTATTTGCACTAAATACCATGACTGCCTGATTATCAGATGATAACACCATTCAATGTTAATAAATATCGCAGGAGGAAAAAAAGAGAAAGCTTTTAAAGGTTCGTCTCGAGATGGCCAAATTTTTGCAAGAAACAATCGAAGAGATTGGTGCGTCTGGATCAGGTCGTGAAGGGGCCGCTAAAGAATTTTCAGAGTTTTTCCGAAAGGTATTTTAAGTTGATATAAAATTCGCACTAACATTTCGGGTTACCTCTCACAAAAGCCATCAAGATTCGCGTGAACTCAATTTTACTATAATTCTGATTGGTATATTATCATAGGATGTCAAAATTCTTTTTTTACATACAAAACTTTCCAAACCGTTTGTGCCATTTTTTTCTCAAGAATGTTTTTTTCTTTTGTTCTCTTAAAAAAATAGTTTTTATACTACAAGAATCGACCAATCACAATTTTAGTAAATTCTGTTCGATGGGCTTAATGATCTTGTGACTTGTGATAACATCATCCCGAAATTTTGGTGCGTTATAATGCATAAAAGAAAAATTATTCGCATTGCTTTCCTTCTTATCCAATGTTATTTTTATTATTTGATAGGTCAGATCAACTGGAGAACAAGCTTCCACAGAAGATCTTCTTCGGATAGCAAATCTTTTCGAGGATGAATTGACATTAGACAATTTATCCCGGCCTCAGCTGGTCAGCATGTGTCGATATATGGGCATTAATGCATTTGGGACCGATAACTTTCTCAGATATCAAATACGCAACAGAATGAAAAGCATCAGAGATGATGATAAAGTAAAGTTTTGCTTCAAAAGATATAAAATTCCTTTATGTATTCCTTCGAATTTTATCATTTTTTCTATTTAAAGATGATTCGTGCTGAGGGCATAGATTCTTTGACCGTTCCCGAACTTCAAGCTGCATGTCAGTCACGTGGAATTAGAACGATTGGTGTTTCTCCTGCGCGACTACGCAACGAATTGAATCAATGGTTGGATTTGCATTTAAATCACAAAGTACCGTCGTCACTTTTAATATTATCACGAGCATTCAGTTTCGCTGATAGATCCGAATTAGAGGATCAAGCTCAAGCATTGCAAGCAACATTAAATAGTTTGCCGGATAATCTGGTAACAATATTTGAACTATTTAACAGAAATTATTTATTTGGAATTTCAACTAGAAATACTATTTATTGTATAGGTAAACGAAGCGGAATTAGAGGTCTCCGAGGCATCCGCTACATATAAGCAGAAACTAGAAGTTATTGAGCAACAAGAAGAATTGATTGCTGATGAAAAGGCTCAAGAAGAGGTCAATATAATGATGTTTACGCAATTTATTATTTAATTTACTTATAGAATTCTGATCTCATACACAGAAAGAAGAGGCTGCAAGAAGAGCTCAAAAAGAGGCAGAAGATGCCGCGCAAGAAGCTGCATTTGCTGAAAATGTTTCGCCAAATGAAAAAGTTACTTTTGTATGCTCACATTTTATCTTCTTGATTTCCTGGGAAATTTTTCTCTATTTGATAATGGCTACTAATTTTTGCTCTCAACCATTTATAAAAAGGTTGCCAAAGATGATGCTCGAATGACACAACAACAACTTCAAGAACTTCGTGATGCACTCACGATATTATCATCAAAATCGGCAGTATTGGAGGAACGCGAAGCATTAAAAGAAATCAAAGATGATCATGAAGAATACAAAGAGGTTAATCTTTCAACAATCTTATTAATGTTAAGTTCAATAATCAAAAAACAAATATAAACTAATTTTCGATGTAAATAATAGGACATGGAAGAGCATATCGAGACTGGCGGTAAAGAATCAAAAGCTTCACTTCGCCTAGGCGATCGCCTCGAAAAGATGATTCAAAAAATTGATTCTGAACTGGAGCAATACGATAGTGAAGTTGGTTCGAGACTTAATCTTATCCAAGCAAATGAAAGCGGACAAATTACCGTTTCTGCATTGGAAGAGGCATTACGTGTCATCAAACACACGCCAGGTGATAATGAACGTATTAAAAAGATTGTAAAAAAATTGGATGTTGATAATGATGGATTAGTATTCCTGGATCATATATCCGAGTTGTGTGATGAAAAGGAAGGAATGGGGGTTTTGATGGAAAATGAAGAGGAAAAGACTGCCGAAAAGAAACCAAAAAAAGAAGATATTTTGAAGGATGATTAATAGTGTCGCATGCTGTAATAGGTTTAATAAAGTTAAAGGTTGCAACCTTTTGACTTAAAAATCGCAATTTTGGCCGTAATTGATGTAATACTCGTAAATGGTATAACATTCTTAACTCGATTCCCTAGGTTCTGGTGAATCAAATGGTGGCCCTACACTCGATTTCTGCCACCGGATCTCGAGATATTGAGCTCCAAAGAGGCCGTACGTGAAATTATTACGGATTTTGTACAAATATTAATTGCGAACTTTTACACAATTACGAACTTTACAAGAATGCTCAGCTCTATACTCGCTTCCCGTCACTGGATCTCGAGGTATTGTGCTCCAAAGAAGCTGTACATAAGTGTTCGTCAAAAATAGATCAGAATTCCACGTGCGGCCTCTTTGGAGCTCAATTTTTCGAGACTTAGTGGCGATTCACCAGAATCTAGATAATCAAACGCTCACAACAGTACACCAAGACACTACGTTACTATGCATATACATGTCCTACATATTGCATTTTTTTCTCTGATTATAATGATGTTAGTCACCTGGAAGATAATTATTTTTTAATTTTGATTAAAAGAGTGTCAGATATTTTAGGGAATCACGTGATATAGATCTTATCCGATTCTCTAGTTGGATTATTTCTAACTTAGACAAATTATATGAAATAAAACAAATATTCATCATGTAAAAGTAAACTGTAATTTTTTTTATTAACCACGTCAAAAGTTAATATAATCAGAAAGCAAATTTTTCAGATATTTTGCTAAGTATAAATATTTAATTTTTTTTATATTCATTAATAATTTTAATAATTAGTTTTAAAATTTTTTATAAACTAATTATTATTCTTTTCTCTTTTATATAATATTAATATAATATTAAAAGTTTTTTTATAATAAATAAGTTTTTCTTTTATCTCATCTATTATATTTTATTTATTATATTACCTTTAGTTATTAATATCATATTTGACAAATTATTAGAACTCAGATATAATTTTTTAATAGAATTATATTTACTATATTTTTCTTTCTTGAAAAATTGCTAAAATATAATTAGCATTAAAAAAAAATCAGAAAATAATTATAATAATATGCTGATTTTATAAAATTAAGTAAAAAATATTTATTATTCTTTTTTATAATTAAATACTTATAAAAAAATAATAATTATATAAATAAGCTAAACAAGAATATATAATAATAATTAAAATAATATACTAGAAGCTAAATTTATTAATAAAATACAATAAAAATTAAAATTTTCTCTTTATATTAAAATTTAAGAAATAATTTTTATTTTTATATCAAAATAAAATTTATTAGTTATAGTTTTTTCAGATTTTTTAGATTTTTCTGAAAGATTTATTCTAATTATAAAGTTAATACAAAAATTTTTACTAATTAAAAATAAAATTTAATTAATAAAAATTTTTTATTATCTTTGTAATTAGAATAATTCTTTCAAAAAAAATCTAAAAAATCTGAAAAAAATTATGTTAAATTATAATTAATAAACTTTATTTTGATAAAAAAATTATATTAAGTTAATTTAAAATTAAATTTGATATTAAATACTTAATAAGAATTTATATAAAATAATTAAGTTAAAATTAATATTAAATTATAATTTATTATAATTTAATTATAATTTTCTAATTAATTATTATAATTTAATTATAATTCTTTAATTAATTATTATAAATTATAATTATTTAAAGTAATATTTTTAATTAAAATTAATTATAATTATATTTTAATATTAATAACTTTTAATAATTATTATAATTTAAATAAGAGATATTATAAATAAATAAGTTAAATATATAACTAATTTTTAATTTTTTCAATTATTTCTATTATATTAATTTATTTATAAATATTTTTATAATTTAGAAAAATTATAATTATAATAAAATTAATATATTTCTTATATATAATATTAATAAATTTATAAAAATTTTATAAAAAATTTTTTTAAAATTAATAAATATGTTATTATATTTATAATTATTTAATCTTTTTTAATATAAATTTTTTATATTATTATTTAAAATTTATAATAAACTAAAAAATAATAAATTATTATAAATTTAAAGTAATAAATTTTTTAATTAATTTATTTATAACTAATTATATAGTATAATAATTAGAAATTTTATATAATAATTAATTTTTTATATATTACAAAATAATATATACAGTGACAATCAAAAATAATGCAACACTTAAATTTTTTACTAATTATAATTAGTAAAAAATTTAAGTGTTGCATTATTTTTG